CGAGGCCAGTGGGACGAGGGGCCGAGCCCGGCGCAGCGCCCCCGCGGAGCTTCATGGCCCTGTGCTCTGCTCCGTCCGTCCCCCCCGCTCGCTCGGCGGCTGCAATGGCAGCTTTTGCCGTCTTTAGGTGGCCCCTTATCAATCAATATGATCATGGATAAGCATTAGGACATTACATTTCTATCCTGCCCCTTTCCCTCTTGTGTGCGAGCCAAAGCAGCTGACACAGTCCTCCTAATTAGAGAGCCTTGCCAATTTCGTCTACATGAATACACGTTTGGTTTTGAGATAGACAGTCCTCCTGTTCCAGGACGCAATAGCACACCAGAAGCAAAATAACTTTTCTAATGGTAACGCACACCCTCCTTCTAATTAATCAGAGCTTTAATTGATCCACCTACCAGTCGTGCCTTGTGCCCCTTGTCATCCTTGTGCTGGGCTGTATTATGCAAAACTGCATCCTTAGCTTTGAAGGTGATTAGCCCAACGGGCGGAGATGACTCTGAACGAAAGCGGAAAGCGCTTTATCACGCTCAGGAGCAAGCTGTACAGGGGAGGTTGCTCCAGGGGAAGATGGAGAAATGGCGATTCGGTTTCCCTAGCTGTTGGTGCATGGAGTTTGCTTCGATTATGTTTCCTCCAAGAAAACCCTGGGCGCTGTGCCCGATACTCTCTTGCGCCCCATTTCACGCTCTCAACAACCTGAGGGAGAAGCTGAAGAGAGGGTGCCACTGGCCAGAGGATGCCTGGTGAGCCTCAGGGCCGGGTGGACACAGAACCCAGCCCTGCCCGCCACCGTCGGCCCATCTGTTGCTGTTTCTGTGCCCTTCCTTGCCAGCCCTGCTCAGCTCTTCTAAACCCGAGGCCGTGCCTTCCCTCGTGGTGTCCACATGTCTCAGTCGTCCCGCGCCTCTTCTTCCTCTGCCTTCAACTTTCCCCGGCATGACCGTCTTCTCCAGGGAGTCTGGCCTTTTCATGGCATCTCCAACTGTCCAGGGAAAGTTCTGGCTTGATTTTATCTAGGATGATTTGCAAAGCTCTCCCTCAGCACCAAGTTTCGAATGCATCCATTTTCTGCCAACTGCATTCACTTCCCAGTTTGCACAACCATCCACAGGGACTGGAATGCAACCGTGTGGCAACCTCGGCTTTGCCCTCCAGTGTCCGCTGTCCCAGTCACCTATGATTATATTTTAGTGTTTTATCAATTTCATCTTGGACTCTTACCAGAATGTTTTTAATGTTTTTTCTAGAGCATCTGTTATTGTAGGACAGACATGAATGATTATCCAAGAATTCTGATTAATAAAACTCTATTGGACTTTGGAATGGACATTGTAGCCCTTCACATCTTGCCTCAGTTTTCAAGCAGCACCATTTCTTCTGAGTTTGTCGTTTCCAGACTAAAAGACGTCTTATCTATCTGAGTACGCCCCATTCCAATCCACTTTAATTTGCTCACCCAAAGTGCTGAGATGTTTAACTGCCCCATCTCTCGCTCGATGGTTTCCAGTTTGCCTCGAACGTATTTCTCGAGTTCCATGTTCTGATGGGAGGCGCTGCGTGGCATCGGATTTTCCTTTCACCTCAGTGCATGCAGCCAGTAGGTGAGAACATCAGGAGCAACCGTGCTCCCCATGCTTAGCCTCTGCTGTGCTCGAGGTGGGCTGCGTGCCTTCTGACTTGGAAGGCTCGCCTTCCAGCCCCCTCTCTTTCTCCACCTTGCTTTCTTCCATCATAGGCTTTTCAAGCCAAAGTTTGCCATGGCCGCCGTCTGCACAGCGTTCGCCAGAGGTCGCTTGACCACCACGGCAACTGATCGCACAAGATCTTCAGTGCCACCTTCCACAATGGCCGCTGCCCTCAGGAGCTTCCTTGCCCCATCAGCCACCCTCTCCTGCAGATGCGAGCCTCCCTCTTGAGGGAACATGCACCTGGGCCCAGTGTCTCCTCCGCCTTGACCCTTCCGCCTTGGGTGGCCCTGCTAGGAGACCAGGCTAGCAAGAGAGTCTGACCTGCTGGCAACATTGCTTGCAGCTTCTCTGGCACTCTCAGACATCCATGGCATGTCAAAGTGTGCATTCAAGATGGGGACTCTTAAAGACGCTCTCTGGATTTAAGCTACAAGTTTTTATGGTCCGGTTTGCAGCCGATCCAGATCTGAAGGCATTCCCTCCTCCTAGGGTGCCATCCTGCGCTAGCTGCGCTGGCTGGTGCATGCTGAGAATTGTAGATATTTTTCCTGCCTTAAACTAACACAGGTTGGTGCTTCTGAAGTTCTCGCCTAGGAGAGAGGATTTTAGGGTCCATGGGTGTCATTTCTATTGATAATGACTTTTCCCCTCATCTGGAACTGATCCCTGCTTGTGCAACAGCTCGGTTTTCCGAAATACTGTCCCCGGATTGATTATTGTGGCTATTTTTAGAGCCTGAGCAGAGACTCAGCCCTGCAATTATGGGCTGGCTTCCGTCACTGCTGAAACAGCATCTCGCCATCTCACTGCCAGATACTTGAGAACATTTAAAAGGAACTGAAAAATCATTAAGGTAAAACTGCCTCACAGCAATCGAGGGCTTAGGCAAGTGTGTTGCCAGAGGGTGCTTAAGGCATTAGAGGCTTAACGCTTCCCGCTCACTGGCCGAGTGCATTACTCAGCTGTAATGCAGAGGCTGCTCCAAAGAGAAGTACTGCAGGATCACAAGATGGGGGGCACCCCACGGTCCCCCCAAATGTTAGGACACAACTCGGAGGCAGCACCATCCACTGACTGGAGAATTTGTTCTCAGCCCTACCTAGAAAGGGTAGGAAGGGCTGATCCTGGCCCTGTGGAGGGCCTCAGGCTGGGGAAGGGCTCCAGAGCATGTGAAGGCTGCATTGCTGGGATTCAAAGCACGCACAACCTGCCTCCTGGTTGCATCTTGGATCGAGAAAATGAGTGTGTGGAATGCACCCCTCTCAGTTGAATCAAATGTCATCTGAAAATACTCAACGGGCAGACCTGAGCATGTGCAGAGTGCAGCACCGGCACACAGAGCCAGTGCAGGCAGCCAGGAAACAGATGGGAGAATGAACAAAGAGTGTCCTTGAGCATAAGCAGAGCACACTTCCACCCTGCTGAGCAATTACAGCCACAAAATACCTGAAAACGGAGCCGCAAAGAAGACCTGCGCGCATGCGCCAAGTGGGGCAACCGCACAGGGGCACAGTGCCCCGAGATCCGGGAGCGCGGAAGCGCCTCAGCCCGCCAAGCCGCTCCAGCCGGAGGAGCTCGGGCTCAGGGATTCGGCCCCTCCTCTGCACATGCGCAGGGCACGTGATTGAAAGCCATCCCGAATGAGTAGACACACCGGGTGGCGGTGCGGCCGAGCATGCGCGGAGTACACTGGGAGCCCCACGCTCACCGCTCCACAAGAAAGAAAGCGAGAAAGAAAGCTGCTGACCTTGAGCATGTGCCGAGTGCCTTTGGGGCGGAGCTTCGGGCAGGCCGGAATGTGGGGAGGGCCTTTCGCCTCGGCACTCAAGATGGCGGCGGCGCGGTAACCATGGCGACGGCCGCCTCTCGCTCCTCCCCGCCCTCGAGGGCGTCACGTGGCCTGCCCGGCCGCGCCGCGCCCGCTCACGTGACGCGCCGGGTTCCCCGCACGTGACCGGCTCTGCGAGAGGGTCCGCCGGGTGGTTGGCATGGAAACGCGGCCCGCGCCCCCCTCGCGGCCGGCGCTGCTGCTGGTGCTGCTGCCGCTGCTGCTGCCGGTGGAGGCGGCGCGGGGGCGGCGCGCAGGTGAGGCCGCCGCTTCCGGGGAGGCCGGGCCGGAGGGAACTCCGGGCATGCTCAGGGGCACGCTCGCCTCGCGTTTCAGTGCTGCCGGCGGGAGCTGCTCGCGCCCTGTCCGTGCGCGGGAGCTGCTGGGCCCCTTTGCCCGGGCCGGGGTTGCTCCGTGGCCGCGCGTCCCGGGATGCCGGCTGTGGGTGTGCTGCTCATGGCGGGGAGGCCTGTCCGGGCGGGGTACGAGACCGGACGACAGGCCTCACGGGGAGCCCCGGTCCTGGGCCCACTGCCCAGCGTGGCTTCGCCCGCGCAAATGGGAGCAGTGGCGCATTATTCCGGCTAGGCGGGGACAGGATCGCGCCTTAAACGCATCCCGCGTGTCCCACGCCCAGGCGACGGACGGATCTGCTCAGGGCCCCTGCGCTTTGGGATATGATCGGCCAGGACTGGCAGACATGCAAGCTGGGAGCCCTAATACCTCACATTTTAGAAATGCTTCCCTGCCGTTCCCTTTTGCCCAAATACAGGTCCTTTACTAGAGAAGCTTTGTCATTAAAAGGACGGAGGCAGGAGCTCTGGAAGACCCCTGCGCCACCCCCTTTTTCCTCTCCCCGCTTCTCCTCTTTCCCATTCACGTGTGGAGAGGAGAAAGCTGCTCTCCACGTCCTCTGGAAAGTCCCGGATTTTCTTTCAAATGTTGAGATAAACAGGCCTCAACAGAAAAACAGTTTGTTTTAAAAATAGTTGTGTTGTCATAATATCTCAATGTATACGATTTCCAGCCTTGAATAATTGTTCAGTTAGGCAGGAGAAGGCAATTGATAATTGCAAGGGATATAATCCCACTAGTTAACCATCTGTGGCTTGGGTCCCAGGGCCCTGGGCCTCTTTTCATTTACGGCCCAACTCGTTGCCTCTCCTTTGGAATTAAAGCTCCCCGCTGAAAGTTTGTTGCTTCCTTTTCAAGCTTACAGAGCCCCCCAGATTGCCTTCGAAGAGAAATATTTTGACCAGTGGCTGGACCACTTCAATTGGAAGTCCTACGGCAACAAAACGTTTGCCCAGAGGTACCTCATCACAGGTATGCTGTCGGAAGGTGGTGCTGGTGGCAAGCAGGCGAGAGGTTTGCCAGAGCAAGGGGCGTGTGGGTCCGGCTTCCTGTGCCCCAGAGCAGCCAGCCAGATAGCCTTCAACTGTGTGCAGGCTGCCCCATTCCTGAAGATTGATATGAAGCCGCTGTCTTCACAGCTGGACTGTTGCTCTTTCTTGCTCGGTAGCACCCATGCTGAGGGGCAGCGGCTGCTCTCCCAGGTTTCAGGCAGGGAACAAGGAACGTTTGCATCCAAAAGATGTGCTGCTAAAAGTGAACGAAGAGAACAGCCGTCCGTGGTTCTGAATAAAGGGTTGAACGCAATAGGAAGCATCCTTACGCTGAGCAAGGCCATTAGTCCCTCTAGCCTGGCTTGGGCATCTGCAATCTTTTGGTGAGCCAGGAAAGGAAACCAGAGCATGTGCCCAGCTGCAGGGTGTAGGGCATCCCGAGTGCTCAATATATCCAGCTCATCCTTAGTGCCTGAATTTGAAAAGCTGCCCATTCAGGCAAAGTTTGATCCTGTGTGGCAAGGTTGTCACTCTCTGTCCCTGTTCCCCGATCTTCCTGGAAGGGCCTGTCCAGGAGCCTCTCTGGGGTAGCAGTCAGTTCCCAGCAGCATCCCTGCCGAAGGTTGGGGAGCAGTTCGCACGATGGGTGGAAGGACGAGCAGCGTTTCAGCTCGTTGAGCCTCCGTTCTCCACCCCGGTTCTCAGCCCGCCACCTCCTCACTCCTGAATGCAAGTCCCCTTTTCCTGAGCAGGAAAAATGCCTGCTTTTCAAAGCATGGACCCCAAGTGTCCCCATCCCTTGGCCAAAGTATGGAGTTGTGCACGTTGAAGGGAAACGCACATTTTCAGGAGCCCTCACGTCCAGGGTTGTGCATGTCTGAATGCAAACACAAGCTTGGGAAATGCTCTTGCAGGTCTGGAAAAGGCACAGCCCTTCTAATTGTTTGCGGTTTTGCTAAGCTGCTCTAATGCGCTTCTCTTGGCCACTCTGCACAGATACATTTTGGGAGAAGGGGGTGGGCCCCATCTTCTTCTACACTGGGAATGAAGGCGGCATCTGGAGCTTTGCTCAGAACTGTGGCTTCATCCTGGAGTTGGCTGAGCAGCAGAATGCCCTGGTGGTCTTTGCCGAGCACGTGAGTGTTTGCCCTGCCATGGGCAGGCGAGGCGTCCTTTCTCCCCGTCACCAGGTCCCCGCCTGGCCATGGGATCCTTGATCTGGAGGAAGGCAACGGGAGACAAGGGAGGCCTGCTGTGCTTGACGTGCCTCTTGTGCTTCTGTAATTTCTTCAGAGGTATTACGGGAAATCGCTTCCGTTCGGAGCGGTGTCACTGCAAGAGGACAACATTGGCCTGCTAAGCATTGAGCAAGCTCTTGCTGACTACGCAGTGCTTATCAGGGAGCTGCGGCGGCAGTATGGAGCGCAGGATGCCCCCGTCATTGCTTTTGGGGGCAGGTGAGTTGCCCCCCCCACCCTGCCCTGGCCTGCCCCCCTTTCTCTTTCGGTCTGTTCCGTGTTGCTCCCACTTCCGGTGTGCAGTCTTCTCCGTGCAAGACCGGCAAGCATCTCCAGTCCCTGCAGGCATGCCACCAGTGTCTGGAGTCCACTTCACGTGAGATGTCAAGTCGTTCGGCACATTTCCTGGATCTCGTGTCAAAAGGGATTTCTAAATGTCTTGCTGTCCAGGTGTGGGTGGCTCTTGAGTTGCCTCTGGTACCTTGAGGGCCAGTGGAGGCTGAGGTGTGAAAGGCTGATGTGTTTATTAAAAGATCTTTAGCCCTCCTTTCATCAGGAGGTTACTGAGTGGTGTATATGAGGAGGGGGAAACGAAAAAAATGCAGGCACAATGAATGCCAGTAAAGCAGTCAAACTGAGCTGGGCAATCCGTTTGGCGGGAGTTTGCTTTGCCTCTTGTTAGCCCAGCTGGTCGGTTGAGGAAAACCAAGGAAGTGCAGCACGCCAGCACATTCTGGACGGCGTCAGAAGAGCCGCCAATAAATATGTGTAGAAAGTTAAATCCAAACAGGCGCATGCAGGCATATAATAACTAGGCAGAAGAACTAGACTTTATGGTTTTGGCTACGCAGGCAAACAGTGGAAGTTTAACCTGAAAAAAACCGTAAAGTCGGCATGAGTCACATTTCTGTGCGGAGGCTGTTCCAGAATCTGGGAACTAGTAACGGGAGCTTTGAGAAGCGCATCCCCTGCTGGTCTTGGGGAACGGTGCTCTTTTGGATATTCCGGTCCCAAGTCGTTGAGCAGTTTATAGGAGATCAGCAGTGCCTTGCACAGAACTGGAGACAAATAGGCAAGCCATGCCATCCCCTGAGGATCGCTGTGGTCCCACCTGGCCCCACAGGCCCGCATTCTGCACAAGCTGAAGCGTCTCCCACGTGCAGGGATCCAGGAAGGCCATGCCCCTGATGCCTGGGTTGGGGCGAAAGGCCTGCCTCTTGTGCCAGAGGCCTCTTCAGTATGGAGCTGTGGCCCCTTGAGGCGTGTGTCCCTGGAACGCAGTCTCTGTGGGGCGTCCGCGGCATCTCTGGCAGGCCCAGCAGGCCACCCCGGGTGCAGGCGTGCATGCTGTGCAGCGTCTCCACTGGAAGTGGGCCAAGGCTTACTGGGAGGGCAGGTTGGGGCCCCGTGCCCAGCGAGGGTCTTGCTGGGGAAGAGACGCGGCCCATCGTGTGCGGACGGCTAAGCATCGCCCTGCCTTCTCGCCTGGGCCGGTGTGCCCTGCCCTCTGAGCGGTGCAGCCATTCCGCCCATCTCTCCTCGCTCTGCTTTGTCTCTGAGGGGCAGTGACTCGGCGTCCTCAGCCCAAACCCCCGGGGAGGCTGCAGCCCCGTGTCCCTCCAGCACGCACGTGGCCCTGCCGAACCTGTCCTCGTGTCTCGCAGCTACGGGGGGATGCTGAGTGCCTACATGCGAATGAGGTACCCCAACCTGGTGGCGGGGGCGCTCGCCGCCAGCGCCCCCGTGCTCTCCCTGGCCGGGGTTGGCGATTCCAGCCAGTTCTTCAGAGATGTCACAGTGGTGAGTAGCAAGAGTCCGAGCGGCATGCATTTTCCCCGCAGGACACCCCCCCCCAGTCCCCGCAACAAAAGGGCCTTGTGAATCCGCATAATGCAGACGCCGTTCAACGGCGCCCGCTCTTCTGTGATCGCCGTTGGCTCTCTCTTCCAGGATTTCCAGAACTGCAGCTCGGACTGCGCCACGGCTGTGCGAGAAGCGTTCCAGCAGATTCGCGACCTCTCTCTGGCTGGAGGTAAAGTGAGCGTACCTGTCCAGCAGGGGGCACCTCCCTCAGCGAGGGAGGGGCGGGGGTGTCGCGAAATAAGGCAGTCTCCCCCAGCCTGGTGCCCACCAGACGTGGGGGACTCTGCCACCATCTGCCTGGGCAGTGGACAAGAATGCTGGGTGCTGTAGTCCGAAACACCTGGCAGCCCCCATGTTTAAGAGGCCTGGAATAAACCCTTCATTTTGGGTGAGTTTTTAAGGAAGGCACTGAATGTTTGCAAATCCGATTCTAAGGAAATCCTAGAACTGAGTTCAGGGCCCTCAGTCCTTGGCATGTCGGCTTTCAGAAAGAGCAGGGCAGAGCATCTTCGAGAGATGCGCACTGCCCCCCGGCGTCCGGCCGTGCCTTTTCTGCCGTTCCAGCAAATTGGTGCACCTTTGCACTCCAGCCTTGGTTTGCTTCCTGCACCGAGTTTTTCACCACATCACCTGTTTGCTGTGGCATAAGCCGTAGTGCGCCGTGGCGTTCTCTCCCTTTAGAAAGAGAGCGTGAGCAAGACCATACTTTGGTTGTGGGAAGGGGAGGCGCAGATGGTGAGAGGGAGGGAGCGGAAGCCAAGAGACGGCAGAAGACCCTGGGCTCCGTTTTTGGCCTTCGCGTGGCAGGAGGGCTCTCTTTGGGACCCTCGGCGCCGTCGCTGACTGTCCAGCTGCATGGCAGCCACGGGCTGCTTAGACGGGGCCTTACCCGCCCCCAAGCCAAGGCGGCTTCCTGGCTTCCCATTCACGTGAGGACAGGATAGGCTGCATCCACAATCCTGGATCGCACCCGGGGCAGGATTGGGCCAGGGTGGCCACTCGTGTGTGGACATTCAGCCGAGCGGCCCGGCGCTGCGCCACCCGGCCGGGCTCGCCTCCTGGTCAGTTCTCCGCCTGCTGCCTCGGCCCAGGACGTCTCAGGTGGGCTCCTGCCCGCCCGAGCGCGCGTGCGAAGGAGCCGCCTGAGCAGACGTGCTGTGATCCGTGCCGCCCGCCTCTCTGCCCCTCACTCAGATTACCGGAGGATCAGCAGTGGGATGTCCACTTGCGAGCCGCTTTCGTCCAGGGACGACGTCGCGCAGCTCTTTGGATTTGTGCGGAACGCCTTCACCATGATGGCCATGATGAACTACCCTTACAAGACTGACTTTATGGGCCACTTCCCGGCCAACCCCGTCAAGGTGAGGGCCGGGGGGAACGTGAGGGTCCGCCAGCCCGCCAGCCTCACCTCTGAATTGCGCTGAAGCCCCTCCCTCTCAGACCCTGCCTTTGGGCAAAGGTGGGGAGCGTGTAGCCCTGCAGACAGGGCTGGACTGCAGCTCCCATCAGCCCTGGGAGCCCAGGAGGCAGCCCAGCCCGTCCAGCTCGGGTCCTTCGCCTGCACTGCAGGGGCTCCAGCAGCACGAAGCTCAGTCCAACAACCTCGCCCTGATTATCGGACACCTGGGTTGCCAGACCTCCAGCCGTTTTACCTGCCAGTGACTTGCCACCTTAGCGTTTATTTTGCAGTCTTGTTTTATATCACAGCCCCCTGGCGACTTTTCTAAAGCTTCCTCATTCTGCAACGGGGCGACCAGGCAAGCTTCAAAACTGGCTCAAACAGCCATTCCGAGTTCCGAGTTCCCAGAAAACCCTGGGGATGGTCGGGGGTGTATTCTAGGGTTCTCCAAACAGAGCTGAGGCGCAGGGGGAAGATAAGTTTTTATTAGATATTGTTTACTTCAGGTAAAGGTAATACAGGAACCTGGTCCTTCATGCCCCAGTGGATACAGATTACATCAGTGTGCCCAACCGGAGGCTCTCCGGAGACCCTCACCCCCAGAATCCCACAGCCAGCAGCGCTGGGCGTCTTAGTCCGAAGCATCGGGGAAGGCTGGATTAGACAGTGAGCAGTTCCTGCTGGGATGAAACAGCAAAGTGTTGATGTTGGAATAGCTGTTTTTAGCTCGAGATCTAAATGGTGGTGGTTTGTTTATAATTAAACTGGGGAGTCAGAGTTCTTACACATCCTCTAACCAGGGGTGAGCAATCTGTGGCTCTCCACACTCCGAGGCCTCCATCCGGCATGTCCCCTCACCGTCGGCCGGGACTGCCGGGGGCCGTCAGCAGCTGTGTCTGTGGGGCAGCACGTTGCCCAGGCCCGGCCTCGCGCCGGAGCCAAAGCAGGCCTGCGTTAGCCGTGCGTTCCTTTCGTTTTGTTTCTCGGAAATGCCAGCGGTGCCTGGCTAAGTGTCCCCTGAGGCTTGACAATGAGCCCCTGACTCCTGCGGGATCGCTGCGCACCTGACCTGGCCGATGTGTGTTCCCTCAGGTGGGCTGTGAGCAGATGCTGGCGCACGAGGACCGGATCCGAGGCTTGGCGGCCCTCAGCGGTGAGCGGGCGTTTGGCTTCCGTCTGCAGCGTTTGCCCCCGGCTGCACTGGGCCCCGAAGCACAGCGTTTTCACGGGCCACGGTCAGACTGCCCCCCATGGTGCTTTTGGAGGGCTGGCCCCCTCGGGCCTAAGGGAAGAGGCTTGGAAGGGTCTGCTTCTAAAGAGGGGCGAGGTGTCATTTGCTCTCAACACAGGACCCCAGACCAGAATCGAGAGCTTCCACTTGGGGTTCTGCTCTGCCCCCAGCCTTCCGTGCAGCACTCGGTTTGCGGGAGCTCCCGACCCTCTCCCATCACAAGGAGTCCCATTCCCAGCACCGTTTTCAGGGGAGGTGACGCCACAGGCCACCCGGGCAGGTTCCCTCCTGCCCAGTTCTGCCTCCCCTCTAAGGAGCCGGCAGGGAGGTGCCCTTGCCAGTGACAAAGAGGTGGAGGGTGGACTTCTTTCTGCCAGGGGCGGGGGGCCCCTCCCCGCCCCCCCGCGGCCCCTCCGTGAGCCGCGGCGGCAGCCGCACGAAGCAGCAGCCGTGGTCCAGCAGGGCCGCGGGCAGGGAGCCAGCGTTCTCCCACGTCTTCTCGCTGGGCTTGCAGACGAGGACCCCCTCCTCCTTGCTCTTCCGCCGCAGGGACCCCCCGCCGGTGATGTAGAGCCGCAGCTGGTGCTCCGCGAGGCCGAACTGGCAGAGGTCAAAGGCCGACAGGCTGAGCAGGGTCCACTGGTCGCTCGCTGGGCAGTAGCACTCGGTCTCGCTCACGGGGGCCCACTCCTCGCCCTGGAAAGAGCCAAAGGGCCACGGGGGTCACGGGCTCCGCAGCCAGCCGGGAGCAAGCCTGAGGCACAAGTGGAACGCCCCGTGCCTGGGCCAGAGCCCGCCCGCTTCTGCATCCCCCCGGTGGCCACAGCCCCCTCCTCCCATCCAGCCGTGGCTGGGGCTTCGCCGCCTGGGGCGCGTTTTCCCTCCTGTTCTGAAGACTGAGATGGCCAGAGGTGGTGCAGCTCCCGTCGTCTCTGACCAGCGTGGCCGGGGGTTGTGGGAGCTACAGGGCTTCAGTGTCGAGCACCGTGAGGCCCCTGGGCGAGTCTGGGAAGGATTCCTGCAAGATCTTGAAGTGTTTCAGTGCTCGCAGTCGCGCTCGGGAAACCGCGAGTGCCACAGCAGTGGGGCGCTGCCACTGCCTTCCGGAGCGCCACGCATCACCGGGGCTCCTCCGCCTGGAAGGGCTTCAAGAGGAACAGCAGGGGCTGCATCGAGCGGGCCGGGGCACGGCCGACCCAGTGGCTGCCACGCAGGAGCGAGCAGCTGCCCTCGTAAGAGCTGGGCCTAGGCTCGCTCGGCGGCCCTGCATCTCTCGTGTCGTTTTGTCGGGGTGCTGCCTCCCCTGCCAAGAGGTGGCTCTTAAACAAGAAGACCCAGCCACGCGCCGCATGGGGAAGGACCTCTCCAGGGGCTCTGCAGGGATGCCAGACAGATTCACAGTGGATTCGGATGAGTTCTGGGATGCCACGCCTGCGGATTCTGGCTTCCTGGAGCCATGTGGAACTTGTGAGCCTGTAGGCTGGTTCCTCACTGTTGGGAGAAACGGGCTAGTGCGTATTAGCACCGGCAGAACTAAATTCTGGGAGAAAATCTGATGGCATTGACGAGGGAACAGTGGAACCAAAGATTTGCATGACATAGGCAGAACAGAATTAACAAAATGGACTTCGGGACAGCCAGTCAGGTAGACACCGCATGTTTGAAGCAAAAATGAAAGAGGCTTCTTTGGAAGGGACTGTGGCAAGGAGCCGACGAAATGGAATTGAGCGCACACGGTGCGCCACAACAAGCACGGAGCACCTGAAAGCTCGGCCGTGACGGCTCTCCGAATGTTTTGAAAATCAGCCCACCTCTGTCTGGGTCCTTCCTCCGATGCAGAGGATCCTCTCTCCGACCGCCGCCATCCCGTGGTCGCACCGGGCAACGTTCATCGGCCGGTTCCTGACCCACCTGCCCAGGCGGGAGAGGTAGCTGTGCGTGTCCCGCAAGGTCTTTCCCGCGGCGAAACCCCCTAGTGCAGGCGGGCGAAAAGGGAAGGCCCTCCTGTGGACGGATCCCGGCCAGCCCCTGCCCATCTGCGGCGCCCAGGACTCCGCCTGTCCTCTCTCCAGGCTGCCGGGGCCTGGGCCACGCGTGCGGCGGGTGCCGCCCTCGGCTGAGCTAGGGCTTCCCCGGCCTCGGTGCGCGCACAGAAATGCCAGAAAGGGAGCCGGGCTGCTGCTCTTCTGCAGGCGACGCCGGCGGGGCCGCAGCGGGCCTCACCTGAGACGTACAGGATCCCCTGGTGGGTCGCCCCCGCGTGGTCGGCCACGGGCGTGGGGAAGGGCGCCACGGGCCGCCACTCGTTCTCAGCAGGGTGGTACTCCTCGGCCGTGCCCGTGAGTGCTCCCAGCAGGGCCCCTCCGGCCACGGCCACCAGGCGGCCGTTCAGCACCCCCGCGTGGAAGCGGGTCCGCCGCTCCAGCATGCTCGCCGTCTGCAGCCACGCGTTGTGGCGAGGGTCGAACCGGAAGACCTGGAGCCGCAAGCGGGAAAGGGGTCAGCGGGGGGCCCCTCCTGCCCGCCTCCTCGCGGGGAGGACAGGAGGACGCGTGTGTGGCGGGCCTGGGCACAGTTGGGAGCGCACGAGGGCTCCTGCCCTTCCCTCTTCGGATCCCCGGAAGCGAACGGGGCAGCTGGAGCTGCTGTGGCGCTGCCAGGGTGCAGCGAGGGGACGGCACAGGCCAGGTGGCCTGGCCAGGTGGGCTGTCAAGCGCCTGGGAGGTGCCGGGTTAGGGACAGAGTCGTGCCCCCGGGTGAGAGAGCTGCTTCCGGCATGTCCGTGTGCACCGCCTCCGTGGACGATGCTGTCGCGGCCCCCAGCCCTCGCCTTCCCCAGCATCACGTCTTCCGGTCACCGGCCTTGGCCTCTCCGTGCAGCGACCTAGGCCAGGTGTCACCACGGGGGCACCATCCGATGGAAGCGAATCCCCTTCCTCTTACGCGTGGCACTTACCTTGTTGGAAGGGCATTGTCCGGAAGGGTCAAACCGCTCCTGGCCCCCCAGCACAAAGACAAAATCGTGGATCACGGCGACGCAGTGGTTGTACACGGGCCGGGGGAGCCTTCCGATCTTTTTCCACGCGTGGCAGCTCGGGTCAGCAGCCCACATGGTGTCACAGAGGGTGTTGTCTGCCGACCTGCCCCCAAGGACGAGCAAAGAGTCTGTGCCAGCACGAACCACGCTGACCTCGCTCTGGAGAACTGGCTGGGCGTACGGGCGGGAGTGGTAATCCAAAGCCTCCCGGAGGAGCCGCCTGCAAGCGGAATCTGTCTTCATGACGGGCACTTCCTGGACGGATTTCTGCAGCTCTTGGAGGGGAATAAGGGGGAAGCGGATCCGCTGGAGGACAGCAGCTGCGTCTGCCAGGTGCGCACGGTTGTGGCTCAGCCAGCGCACGGCGGCGTGGAACAGTTCCAGCTCGCTGAGGCCCTCGACGTCGTCTCCGCCCAGGATCTCGCACAGAGTGGCCGGATCCAGCCCCTTCAGCAGCGACGGATCTCCCAGGATCTCGCAGAAGTGCTTGGCCACACAGCTCCTGGCTTTCTGCTTCAGGTCTTCCGGGCCGAGCCGCCGCGCAATGTCGAGGGTCTGCAGGCAGGTGTGCCGATCCAAGCCCTCCTCCAGGAACCGGAAGCACAGGCGCATCACCTCGCGCACCAGCAGCGCCTCTGCCGCCTTGAAGGTCTCCTCCACGGTCGGGAGAGTCAGCTCCAGCCGGTTGGAGTAGATGAACGAGAGCACGTTTTGCAGGCCCCGGGCGGTGACCGAGGCCAGCCTGAGGCGGGGGGGCGGGGGCGCTGCGTCCCCGGCCAGGCGCAGCTTGCAGTAGCTGCTGGCCGCAGCGAGAACGGCCCTGTGTGCGGGGAAAGAGCCGCCGGCGGCCTCCAGCGTCACGTCGCACAGCGCCTCCTCTGCGCGCAGGCCCCCAAGCCCCTCCAGGAGCTTGGACGGGTAGGTCTCCGAGGAAAAGCCCCGGCCCTCGGCCCGGGCTTTGCCGTTGAGAGGCATCCCGCCGGAAGGCCTGGGGCAGGCGCCCACGAGGGGCGAGCTGCTCAGGCGAGGCGCCTTGGGTGCGAGAGGCACCTCAGCTAGGTCCTCCAGGCCCGGCCGGCTGCCCTGCTCCGTCGCCCCAGAGAAGAGGCCCGTGTTAGGTTTGCCGCACGGCTGTTGTTTTCTGGGCTACTAGGAGAGCGGTCAGCTGACGGCCCTCCGCGCCTGTTCACGCCACAAAAGCGCAGTGTCTCCCGGCTCCCCCGCTGGGCCTGGAGCCGCTCCCGGCAGGCCCAGCAGCAAGCCTGGGCTTGCCCCAGCCCTCGGAGCCCTGGCTCCTCGGGAACAGGCTGCAGCTTGCCGAACCTGTTCCGGGCATCCGGCCCAGGGGAGCTGGGCTCCGGGGGAGGCCTCTCGCGGCTGCGGCGGGGCGGCACGGCGACGTGCGTCCTGCGTGGGTCAGCCGCCGGGTGGCAAGGGAGGGCCGCCCCCCCCCCGCCCCGCACCGCACCGGGCACCCTGCTGGCACACAGGCTCTCCACGTGCGGATCCCACGTTGCTCCTGCGGCCCAGACCGCCTGTGGGCTCGGTGGTCGGAGAAGCGCCCGCAAGATGGAGCCCGCAGGCATTTGAGCGGGTCTGGGCAGCTGTTGCTCAGGTGCCCCCGGGCAGGTGGCCTTTGGGGCATCCCCCAGCCCTGTGCCGGAACGATCCCCCTCACGCGGCCTCGCAGCCACGCCGCCCTTGCCCCCGCACTCAGCGGCACGTGCCGGCAGCTCCTGCGGACCGTCCTGAGCCCGCTTCCCGCTGGGTCCCCTGGCTGGCGCTGAGCGCCAGTGTCCAAGAAAGGGTGGCCGTGCCGCCCCGTCCTCTGTCCCCCGCACAGCGCGCGTGCGTCTCCGCCTTGTCCCCCGGCAGCCCGGGGAGGGGGTGGGAGTGAGAGCCCGTGCCGGTCCAAGTCCCCCGGGGGGCTCCCTGGCCGAGCAGGGACTAGCCCTGCGCCTGCCCGGTCCCGGCCAGCACCCCGACCACCGTGGCCACCCTGCGGTGGCCCAGCCTGGCCCCTGGACCTCCGGACGGGCAGCGCCCGGCCACCTGACTTCCTTCTGCTTCCCCCACCAGGCGTCTTCTATAACTCCACGGGGGCCGCTTCGTGTTTTGACATCTACAAGCAGTACCGCCAGTGCGCCGACCCGACTGGCTGCGGTTTGGGCTGGGACTCGGACGCGTGGGACTATCAGGTAGGTTCAGGGGAGGGGAGGGGAGGGCCACCGGCCTGGCCTGCCCCAGCCCAGCTCCTGTGCCGCGAGGGCCGAAACCCGGAGAGGACTCCGTGTGAGGCGGGGCCTTCCCGTGGGCTGCCTTGACTCTGCTGCCGGGCCATGTGCTCAGTGGCCCCGTGAAGCAGGAGAGCTTGCCCTCAGCCCACCTCCCACCCCCGAGACCCAGTTCTGCAAAGCTGCCCGGGCCCCCGTGGGCTTGCTGACTGAGAAAGGGCCTGGCATGTCAGGCCAGCCTTCCCCCAAGACGCCACCCGGATGCCTCCGAAGGAGCCTCCATCGCTCCCAGCCACAGTGGAAGATGGGCACGGCAGTCAGAGGGAGCGTCGCCTGTCCGTTAAGGGAGGTGCGCTGCTCCCGGATCGTGGGAGGAAGGGAGAGCAGGCCAGAGTGTGGGGAGCCGAACCGAGGAGAACCGGCCGATCCCTGCCCTCAGCCAGGCCCCTCGCCCATCAGCAACCCGGGCCACTCAGCCCAGCGGGGGCCCTGCTCCACTCACTGCTCCTTGTTCCAGGCCTGCACCGAGATGAACTTGCTGTTCGAGAGCAACAACATGACGGACATGTTTCCGGAGCTCCCCTTCACGGAAGCCTCCCGGGAACAGTACTGCTTCCGGAAATGGGGGGTTCGTCCCCGGCCATCGTGGCTGGCCACCAGCTTCTGGGGCAGCGGTGAGACACGGCCGCCCTCCTCCCTCGCCAAAGCCCTGCTGCCGATCCCGAGGCCTTTCGGGAAGGTGCTGGAGCCATCGCTGGCCTGGCGACAACCCGCCTGCTAGGGGGGACACCGAGAGACCGGGCGGCCCGACGAGGCGCTGTGCCCCGCAGGGTTGTGCGGTGGCCAGAATGCAGCTCTCCCAGATTCCAGGGTGCACTCTGACCACTGCACCACCCTGCCCTGGCATAGCTGGCTGGGGTCTTACGGGAGCCGCCGTCGGAGCCGGGGAGGAGGTTGCCCTGCCGTATGGCAGTGGCAGAGAGGATCCCGGTGGAAAAGGCTTCCCCAGCCGAGGCCCTGGAGAGCCCCTGCAGGCAGTCTGCGTGGCGGGCGCTGCGTGGCTGGCTCCCCAGCACCGCCACCCTGCCCTCGGCCCCCGTCCAGGCGGGCGCTCGGGGGGGAGGGCCGGCACAGCAAGGTGCCCCGCTTGGCCGAACTACTCGTGACCCCCCCTCCCTCCCCTGCTGTGCCCTTTCCAGAACTGGCAGCCGCAAGCAACATCATCTTCTCCAACGGGGACCTGGATCCCTGGGCAGGCGGTGGAGTAAGTCTGTGCGCCCCCCCCCCCCGCCCCGGCTGGGGTGCGGCCTCTAGCCAGGGGTCGGCAGGGCCGCCCCGGACAGCTCTGACCGCCACCGCTGTTATTCCAGGTGCGGAAGAGCCTGAGCGCCTCTCTGGTTGCCATCCTCATCGAAGGGGGAGCCCATCACTTGGATCTCCGGTGCGTATCGCAGAGCTCGACCGTGTTTGGGGCTGTGCCACCCCCACCCCCCACCCCACCCCACCCCACGCCGGGGCTGTTGCAAAGCGGTCCCGCTGGCTCTCCCGCCGGGCCCAGAGGAGCAGGGGCCCTTCTCGGTGCCGGGGGCCTTGCTTCATTTTTTCCCTTTCCTTGTGTTAGTACATGGGGCAATTAACTGGTGCCGTCGTATGTTATCTTCTCCCCCTTTCTAAGACTTCTCCCCCGTTCACGACGTTTTAGTAAGCCATTGTGGCTCATGTTGGGTTTTTAGCTGCTGTGATGCCAGAACTAAACTCCCCCATAGCTAGGAGTAGCCTATCTCAAAGTACCAGCTGTTGCAGGCGCTGCATTTGGCCTCTGTAGAGGGACCATCTGGCTGGCCGCTGTGGCCTTCAGTCTGGCCCCATCGTGCCGATCTCACGAGGCCTTGCCCCCTTTCCAAACAAATCTGCCCCGGACGTTTCAGCCTTTTGGAAACCCAGACTGCTGTTATTTCTCCCCCAGGGGAAAAACTTCTTCCCCACCCCAGCCTGCCCCCTTCGAAGGTGTTGGACTGAATTCCCAGCATCCCCTCATGGGGGGCGGGGGTCCAGCAGCAGGTTGTCGGAGTGCTCTAGCCTCAGAGCAGCCCCGTAGCGTCCTGCGGCAGCTGTCGCTCTCCCAGAAGCTCAAGCGGTGACCCGCCTCATGCCGCTCGGTGGTCCAACAGGGGCTCCAACCCAGCCGACCCGCCGTCCGCCAGAGAGGCCCGTCTCCAGGAAGCGAGCATCATCTGTGGCTGGGTGAGGTCCGCCCGCACCGAGGACTGAGCGCGCATCCTGGGGCCTTGCGGGAGTCGCTCCCAACCACCGACCGGCCTTTAACGGGAGTCGTCAGCGCACCACCTGCACTGCCAGAACCAGCCAGAGGTCCAGTGGAGCGCCGGGCGCCGGGCGGGGGGGTTGCGACGTGCCCGTCCATGGCGGAGCGTGGGCGCTGCCAGCGCGTGATGTGTCTTGTTGCTGGACCACAGAACCAGGAATAAAACGGGGGAGATGCCTCGGGGGCCGCGTCCTGCTGTGCACGTGCTTCCTGCCGGCTGGGTGGGGCCTGTCTGTGCAGCTCCAGGCAGCAGCTCCAGGCAGCTTGTCGCTCGAGAATGGAATGGGAGAGCTGTCACTAATCACTCTTAATTATCAGTTGATAATTCAGTTCCCCACTCGGCAGCACCTTTTAAAAAAGCCAATAGGGGCACTGCTGAAATGCCAAGCCCAGGGACCGCTCTTGGGCACGTCCTGCTGGAATCAGTCCGGGCTTACAGCCCCCCCGCCTCCCAAAGCCTGGAAGGTAATCGATGATGCCCACGGACCACTGGCCTTCTCAGCAGCCCCCGAAGCCAGTCTGAACCGAGGCTGCTCAATACTGCTGCATGACGATGCAGGGAGAGGCTTCGGTGTGTTTTCAAGGAAACGGAGTGCCAGAGTTTTTAACAGAGATGCTAAACGAAGTTAGACCAGCCGAGGTTCTCCAGGGCCTTGGGCAGCGGAGGCAGCTGGCTTTTGCCATCACCCGCTGTCTGATTTTTTGTTACTGGAGAGGCCGGGGATTGAGCCCCAGACCGCGTGCACACAAAGAGGCGCCTCGGGCCCCTGCCTCAGCGACAGCCCTAGGCCGCCGCAAAGGCTGTGTGTGGACGACAGCTCTCCCGGCTGGGCCGGGCCCAAGCCAAGTCCGGCACTGCTGGAGCGTGAATCAGCTGGAAGGCAGGATCGAGCAGCGCCTGCGCTTGGCAGCACAGAATCAGGAAGTCGCAGACAAACACAGTGCCTCAAAATAAATTACAAGTTTATTAAAGTGGAATAGAATTCTGCAGATCAGCTTCCACCTAATACAAGAGAGGGATTGGATTTTTAAGATAATCTTTTCTGCCTCTTGAAAAATTGGAGCACACACACAGTCTTTTGCACATTCAGTGAGGGATTGATTTTTCCCTTAAGGGAGAACAAGGAACACACCAACCAGGCTTCAGAAACGAGCATTTTTCAGGGTAAAAGGGGGCAGGATGGGGGGGTGGGGGGGCAGAGCTTTGGGGGCGCACAGCAGGCTCCCCTCAGCAGAGGGCAAGGGCAGACGTGAGGTCGGGCAGTTGTAAATTGTGGCCACTGGTTTGCAGCAAGTCGCCACATGGTTCCCGGTTGCGCGTTCATGCCATCCTCTAACAGAAGACAAGACTCCCTTCCCCTCTTAAGACGTGGCAGGAAAACATCAGTGTTCACAAGCAGCATTAAAAGGAAGTTCTTTGGCGCCACTCTGCAGCGGCCCAGAAACAACCGCACACACGACGACGAGGAATGTCTGCATGCTTTGCAATGCAAAGTGAGGAAGCTAGCGAGAAGAGCGCCTTTCTGGAAGCGGTGAGCCGTGAACTTCTCTTCCTTTACAAAAAGAGAGAGAAAAGCCACGCAAGCAAAGAGGACGGCGAGGGCTTGGCCTTTGTGGAGAGAACGCCCAGTTTTCACTACACTGACACAGCTGAAGGGAGCGGGAAGTCCGGATTCTGCACCACCAAAAGCCTCTTTCCACAAATGTGGGCCATTCATCTATTTGCCACTGGGCAGGAGCCAGGATTCTGCACCCAGGGTACCCAGTAGCCCAAGGACTCGGGCGTGCGGGGATGGCTTTCCCGGAAGTGGAAGCCCGCCCTTTCCAGCTCCACGAACCCCCTGCCTGCCTCCTGCTTCATATACAGAAGGCACTGACTGGTACAGAGTAAAGTGTCGGATTCCCAGAACTGGGGCTTTCGCGTATGGCTTTTAAATTCCAGGGTGCACTTACGTGGTTCCAGCAGGAGACTGGACATAAATCATTGTTAGCCTTTGTATTGTGTCTTGAGCGGGCAAAACTCTGTATTGCACTCCCAGAACCCTAACGACAATTCTGCCAGGTGGGCCCAGCATGCTCGTCGCTGCACCCTCTCGAGAGCAGAGGAAGGCTTGCTGCAGGAGAGTAGCTGCCCCCCGGCAGGTCTGTGGGGCTTGGGCTGTGGCGTTCCAGGCCCGTGGTTCTGATTCTCGGCCACGGTGCCGTCCCAGCTGGTAAGGCCGCATCCAAGACCTCACCCTCTCTAACAGGCCGCTTTTTGGATCGCTTGCAGTTGCCGTTGTCGGCAAGCTCACGGAAGACGTGCTCCAAGCCATTCTCGCCGCCTGCAGATGCACACAGAAGACGACAAGGGCCTGGCAGGAACGGGAGCCAGCGGGAAAACCACACCGGCCAGAGCGGTGCGCTCTCATGCAGCTCTAGGCCAGGCGCGGGACGATTCTGGCCCACAGGCCGCCCCCACCCGCATCATTCAAAGGAGGCGTGCCAACCGTAGCGCTTGGCAGACCGAGCTGCCTGGCACGTGTGAAGGACATGGGCTGATCCAAAAGGGGCGAGCAGCATGCCTGCCCCAAACCCAGGAAGGGCGGTCCCGTGCGCCCTCTCCCAACCGCAAAATAAGATTCCCCCTGTGAAATGATGGTGAGGAAGGAAGGCAGGAAACTGCACAAGCATTAGCAAAACCAAAAAGAAGGAAGAGCAGCTGCACAGACGCTCCAAAAGTACATGCATGAAATCCACGTGCAGCTGCAGCACAAGAGGCCAAAGACACGCTGGGGAGAAAGGACCCTCCTTCACTGGCAGCCGCAGGCCGCTCGAGCCTTCCGAGCACCCGGCCGACCCCGGGGGTGGGCAGCAAGCCCCAGCCTGCAAGCCTCTTCCTCGCGCAGGAGCACCGCCACGCAGCCACCGTGCCCCCGGAGACTCCTGCCGTCCTCCGACTGGGCTTTCCCTTAAGAAGCCCTTTCGAGGCCCCTCCGTCTTGTGACACATGCCGTGACGTGCCCCTTCCGTGGGTTCGTTCCTCCTTGGCTAGTGTTTTAAGCGCCAGCGGTGCTTCCACAAATCTGCTCCAGGTTTACGTTCGCTTCCAGACGGCCAAGCAAGCAAGAGGTAGTCAGGAGGGTCAGCCTGCCCTCCACACTCGTTCATCTCCTAAGAAGTGCAGCTATCGTCATCCAGCTCTCCCTGGGGCAAATCCCACCCCCAAGGATGCCATGGACTCCCGATTCCAGGCTCCTCTGCCCATCCCCTCAAGGTAACGCCAGACTCCAACTCGAAAGCAAAGCCCGACCGAGCCAACGCACTGCAACGCAAGGACAGCAACCCCTCCGTTTCAGGCACAGCTCCCAGTCCAGACAAGGAAGCTGCTCAGGTCCCCTGTAGCCTTGGGAAGCAGCTTTCAGTCAGGATACCTGAGCCAAAACACACACGCACACCCTTTCCTGTGTCAACAACCCTTCTTTTTAAAGACCCATTTCTCTCTTCACATTGTTTCCTGCATTTCTGCAGAGAAGAAATTACACACCGCAGTGCCGGTATCTACACGGCTCCCCCGCCCAGCAAGCCGCCTGCACTCAGCCCCTCGGAGATTCACAGTGGGGGGGCGAACTCTGTGAGCGTAATCGGAACGCTTCTCGAAACAGAGCGCCCTCGTACGACGCATTGCAAAAGGGTAAGGTTCAGTTTTGATCTGCCAGGAGGACAAGCTCCTGCATCGGAATGACACTGGAGAATCGGTGTCGCGCTGACACCCTGCTTGCGGAGTCTGGGGCAGGGGCCCCATTTCCTGCTTTTCCTGCCGTTCCTGTGCAGACATGGCATGGGATCACAGCACAGAACGATGCTGAAATGCCGGGATTTCTCGGCATTCGCGAAGGAGCTTCCTCTCGCCGTGCCGGGAACCTCCTCGCCAAGGCAAACCTACACCTTGGCAGCCCTCGACGGCAAAACGTGAGCCCTGCTCCTCCTCAAATTTCGTCAGCACCAAGCACAACCCTGCAATGTGTCCATGTCTTGGTGGAGAGGAGAGGGGACACAGGGGGGTGGTTGGATCCAGGTCAGTCATTCTCCCTCCGTCGCCTGGGCCTTTTTCCCGACAAGCCCTCCAGCAAGAAACAAGCGTTTTGCACACCTCCCTCAGACCCCCACAAGTCAGGACACGCCTGGAACCGGGACCGACGGGCGCCCGGCTCTGCTTTACGCCGACGGCCAGATTGGAAGGGGGTGAGCCTCTGTGTTGAAGACATACTTGTCCAGGTTTAGCAAGTTCACGTCGTCCGAGAAGAGCAAGAAAAGGTACTTGAGCGTTTCCCCAAGGAAGAAGCTCTCCATCTTGTCCCTTGGCTCCGGATTGCTGGGATTCTGGACGTTGTTGATGGATGTGTAGCCACCTGTAGGGACCTGGACAGGAGAACCCCGGGAAGAGAGGCGTAAGTAACACGACGTGCGCATGACAATGCTCCCTGCCTGCTTCCATGTGGCGACTGCTGTATTGCGTTTCCTGCCAGCTTACCGTTTGTTTTTCGTTATTGCATAAGCGACTTTGGGGCGCTGCGGTGAGGTGGGAAAGCAGGAGATGCTCCGATGCAGACCCATCGGTGTTAACCGAGAGACGGGACACGACGGGTTGCCCTGCGTCAGTTCACCCCACGCTTAGCCACAGGGCGTACGATGCATGCGCAGCTGCCGTCTTGAACGGGCAGCCTACAATCGGGAGTCGTGGCACGGCACACGCACCCGGCCATCGCTGTCTGACTGAGGGCTATCCACCCACAATCCGTGGTTTGGACAGCACACTGCAAGTTGGTGGCCCCCACTGGGGGCAGCAATCCTGCCTTGCTTAATCCACGATAAACCACAATGTCAAGCAAAACGGCCAATACAAAGACAACTGGGCAAAGCCCTGGGTTAAAACGTGGGCCCGCTGCAGTTGATGCAGCGACACCCCAACATTAGCAGAGAAGGAGAGGCGGCTGCCAGGCTTCCACACCCCCACGGGGGGCTGCACTTCCACCAGCCCTCCCACTGGACGGGCCACGGAGGGCTGCAGGGGGCACAGCCGCGGGGCGAGGCCAGGCGTGCGCGCGAGTGCGCGCGTGGTGGGAACGCTGCTCTTCTCACGCTGGGCTCTTGGTCCGCCTTACCCGTGTGTATTTATTGAAGCTCTGCAAGATTTCCCAGCCCCAGTCTTGGTACTTCTTGTCACCAGTGAAGCGATACAGGTAGAAAAAGCTCTCCACAGTTTCCGGGCGCAAGAGATTGTGTCTGTCTGCAGCCTGGAGAAGAAACACAGCCAGCGCTGCAAAAGGCCCGTTTCTGCTCCATTAAGCAGGAATGAGGCGCCCCAGCCTTGAGAGGGAAGCCAGCGGGGGCCCGTCCCTGACCCTGCCATCATCCTCACTTTTCATGGCACAGTTGATTTGTGATAGACAAAGAGACCGGATTACGTGTTTATAGTGTGTAGGTGTAAAGAAAACGTACTCCATGCACGAGAGTGGAACAGGTGGCCATGAGGCGTCTCGTCTCTGCTGAGTACTCCAACACCCACCTTCCCCAACTGGAAAGGCCACTATGCCGAGGAAGTATAGGCAGCGGCAGTGCCCAGGGCGGCCGCCCCGCCTCGCCCCCCGGGCGACTCACCTTGATCTCCACATCCTTCCGGTTCTTCTGCGCGTGCATGTTGAAGTGGACGATCTCCGGGCTCAGGCCTGTCTCCACCTGCCGGTACATCTGGTAGCAGGTTTCCGCCAGCTCAACCGCCAGGCTCATGTGGTCTGCGGGCAGCCCGTTGTGCGCGCCGAGAGCCAGTGCGCCGGGCAGGAAGCAGACCAGGTGGTCCTGCCCAAGAAGCACACAGCGCTGGCTCAGGCCGTGCCCTGTCTCGCACGAGAGAGCTTTGTCTCGCGGCAACCCCCGCCCGCCCGCCCGCCCGTCCGTCCCCCTCTCTGCTCCGAAGCCCCGGCATCCGTTCGGGCGCAGGAGGAGGGGCTCCACATGCGCCCTGGGCAGATCCCGCTGGGCCTCTGCACGGGCTGCCGCTGCCGGCCGCTCTCGCATGCCGCCTTTGCATCAGTGGCCAGGGCAGGTTTCGCCATTTAAAGTAACAACAGACAGGAGGAAGAAGGGAGAGGGAACGGAGAGAGACGCGGGGCAGCGCAGCTGGTCTGTGCTTCCCGGGGAAAGATCAGGCAGTGGCCGTCCAACGGTCTTCACAGGACGTGAAGGTGCCCCCCCGGCAGGTCCCCTCGCTGAGAGCCGAACAGGTTCTGCACTGCCCCTCTTCAGCACTAACCGGCATCGCCCACCTGACAGACGCCCTGCAGAACACGGCTCTCCCCCACACGGCGTGGGGGCCTCCCGCCTGCACCCGCACTGCCGAGAAGAGAAGCGTACCATTTTGGCACTGAAGCGGCCATGAGCGAGCTCTCCCACAAACGTCAGTCGCCTCGGCTGGGACTTCCGGAGCAGGTGCATCTTCACGCCCTCGATGCCCTTCACGTAATCCTCCAGGAGGCTGCCGTGAAAATCACACTCGTGTCAGGTTTCTTAAGGCTATCGCTGGTGTCAGCGAAGGCAGCAAGCCCACCACCAGGTCTCCTCGGTGCAGAGAGGAGCGAGAGCTCCGTGAGGTTTCGGGCCTGCATCCTCTGTACCTCAGCTGGCTAGGCCAGGGGATGATGGGGCTGGCAGTCCATCAAACCTGGAGAGGTGCTGCAGAATGCCCCTCGCAGCACATAGGGGAAGAGGAAGCGGGTGGAGAGGAGTTTCCGCGGGCGGGGAGGGACTCACTCGTTTTCCTTCTTTCCCCCCTGGATCCACTGCTTGAGCAGGTACTCGTAGTAGCTGTCCGCACGGGCCCCGAGCGTGTAGACGCCCAGGTGGGTGAACTGCCCGCTGTTGGTGTTGATGAACATGGGCACCAGGCCGTCGTGCTTGCCGGCGAGGGAGTGCACGAGCTGCATCACCCCGTCCACGGCGTTCTGCAGGCGCAAAGGAACCAGCTGGAAGGCCTCTTGCGCACCCACGGGCAAGGTCCAAACCAAGCCGGCCGGACCGCACTTTCTGGCACGCGGAGGAGCCGGTAATATCCTGGCTACATTAAGCCAAGGACCCTCATTCCAAAGCTGTCCGGCCAAATGGTGGCCTTCGCAGAAGTCCCAGCTGGCTAGCAGGGTTCCTTGCCGCTGGGAAGCCGAGCCGAACCGGGCGGCCGGCGGCCCCCTTTCCTTCAGCGGCAGAGAGGGGAGCAGTGCCCAGCAGCCCTGCCAGCTCCAGTACCTGAAATTTCTCTTCCCCGGTGAGGCGCGAGAGCTCCCGGAACTCCAGCTGGATGCTGGTCACTTCAGCCACCGTGCTGTCGGACGTCCACCGAGGAGGGTGGGCTGTGCCCCGGCCGATGTTGACATCCGAAAATGGAATCTTGGAAGGGGTATTGAAGGCCGGCATAAGCCTGCTCCCGATATCTTTCTGAACAGCCACAGATTGTGCAGTGCAGGCAGTGGAGGAGAGGAAGAGAACAAGTCGGGAGAAGCCGTGTCAGAAACCTTTTTGTTCTTGTGGGGCGGCTTGTAAACCTCCTCCAAACTTAAGCCTTGGTGACTCGGGGTTTCGAGCCTGCTCCCAAGGCTTTATCTAGTTTGTGTGTGGGTTCACGTGCACACAGTATTTCTCCTTTCCCACAAGAAATGTCCAGAAGTACGAAAATCGCCCATGAGTCAAGAATTGGACCTGCAGGTAGGAGGCTGGCAGGGCAACCCTCTGCATGTTTACTCCCAAGTCAAGCTCCGCTGACGAGGCCCCCCCGAGGGTTCCCTCCAGGACCTGCAGCATGCGAAAGGGGCTCCAGACCCTCGGATCTGCAGGATCCTGGGGGGAGACGGGGGTGCCCCGAGAGCCTCCTTAGCCACTATCCACGCACGCGGGTCTGGCACTCTGGAGAGCTTGCTGCGGGCGAGGGGAGTGGGAAGGGGGTGGGGAGCTGCCCCTGGATGGCCAGGTGCAAGGGGAGCGACTCACCGCTTTCTCCAGGAAGAGGCTGTCCCCTGAGAGGTGGTAGGTGCTCAGCAGGCCTCCCAGGATCCGAATGGCGCTCTCAAACAGGTTGACATCCACGTTCTTGTCAAAGTTGAGTTCGGTGGAGACCCACTGCCGCGCTTCTTCAAACTCTGCAGCGTGGAAGAGGCCAGAAGGTTATTTGCTCGGCCTGCTCAAGGTCTCCTCCCCAGACGAAGGCCTCCCTCCATTCTAATCTTGCAGGCAAGAAGGCAGACGCCCTCCTCGCCCACAGCGATCCCCGGCAATGCGAGCAGGACCTCAGAAGCGGAGTGAGAGGGCCATGGAAGGAGAAGCCACACACCTTCCTTCAGGCCCAAAATCCACATGGTATCCAGTGCGTCGATGAGCGTCAGTCCGAGGCCGAACCATTCACTGTACGACTTGGAAATGGGCTTCAGCTCGTCGTGGCCCCAGGCAGACTCCTTGTAGCCCTTCCACGCGTGGCGGAAGGCCTCGATCACTGCCAGCTGGCGCTCGTTGAGGGGAACTGGAACGGAAGGGCAGAGGACTTGGCTGCCTGCTGTGGCTGGTGCTCAGTCTCTCCCAGGCACTTCCAGCAGGCAGGCAGCCAGCCCTATCCAGTGGAGACAGCAGCTGCTGCATGCAGGCCCATAAAATGGGGGCAGGGGCAGCCTGGTGGGCAGCCAAGGGCCCCCCCGGGCCACTACCTGGTTCCTTTTGGTCTCCAAAGTCCACAGGCGAGGGCTTGTCTAGCTCCTTCCCTCTGTTGGAGGGCAGCTCCGTGCTCTGCTCCGGCTCTATCACAGCTCCTCTCCAGCTGGAAAAGGAGACGCGCTCCAGAAACATGGCACCTCCCAGCTCGTGGCCAAAGGTGTCATCGGAGGCGGAGGCGTTTCCTAGATGTTCCCAAGGATCACTGCTCCAGCCAGGAATGTGGGGATGCAGCAGGCATAATCTATCCTGCCTTTAGCAAAACTTATCATACCCGGAGGAGCAGGAAAAGGGGGCCAGAGGGAAGAACTCTCAGGTGGATTCACGGCTGGCTGCAGAACTGGACTCCAAGAGTTCTTGTCAGTGGCACCTTCTCACCGGCGCTCTCCCACATTTTTATTTGTCATGTTTCTGTCTTCCGGGACATTAGCCATCCCATCCAGTCCCTGCATCCTCCCCCTCTGCTGAAACAATCCCGCTCTCCCCGCTTGCCGCCCTCCCTCCTGCGCTGCACCACCTCTGGCTTCTCCTTTGGCCTCCAGGCCTGCCTGGGCTTTTCCCGCACCCTCAGCATCACGGCTCGCCAGTTGAGCCTCTCTGGTCCAGCCACCATCCCTCCATTGCTGACACCCTGCAGCAAGCCTGGTCTGCCTGGGTGGCGCCGCAGGGACGGCACTCCGCCCGGAGGTGCCCCACACAAGCCCCCCGAGCTCCGCCGGGCACCCCCAGCAAACGGAAGAGGAGGGCTCTGCGAGGCTTACGCAGTCTGGGGAGCCGGACCCTTTTCTTTGGGGTGGGGAAGGCTGGCCGGGCTTCAGCCCTCCTACCTAATGACAGGCTTCTCTGTTTTGAGTTCCGCGTCAGGCCGGCCGGCGTCTCCCTCGGCATCGGCCGCTCCTGGTGGCCTCTCCTTCGTGTCCCTCCGAGGCGATCTTATCTGCAGGTTAGGGGACCCTCGTCGGGCAGGAAGTTGTTTCGGAGGTTTCTGAGGAGAGGCGAAGCAAGAGGGCGATTACTTCTGCCCAGGGAGAGAACCGGATTGTTCACACTGGCAATTAATCCCTCGCCTTGCTGCCTTTGCTAAGCAAGAATGTTGGCAGGCAAGCAAAGGGGGGGGAGACCGGGGGGGGGGGCGGCTTTTCCTTTTAAGTGCTGCACTTCTTGGCCCGAGGCCAGCCTGGGAGCCGACACCTGTCGGAACGTCCTTTGTACTTTTTCCTCCGCGAGGGACGTGTTTCCCACCCAGGACAAGGTCGAGGGTCAGGCAAACAAAACGCTGGCGTGGCCTCCCGCTGCAAGCAGGACAAAGCTCAGTCGCCTGTGCGGCCCTGCTTCCCACATGGCTGCTGGAGAACCTCTGCGAGAGAAGACAAGCTTCCTTCCCTGAAAGCGGACAGTGCTGCCCTCCTCGGACACAGTGGGAGGTCTGGGCCTTTGCCAGTTTCTGAGGCAGCTCTGCCGGAGAGAAGTCCCTGGCACGGCGCTCCCGGGTGAGCTCGCGGGCGCTCCCTCTGCCCAGCGTGGGCCGCGGGGCATGCGCACTGGCCTCGTCTCCCTGGCTGGCGGGGATGCGGGCAAGCACCGCCTGGCCAGACACCCGTGTGCGAGGCCCGCCGTGGAGCCGGGGCCGGGGCCGGGCCACACAAGCACGGAGCCCGGGAGGAACGGTGCCTCCACAAGGCCCTCCGGTGTGGCTTCCAGCAGCCGCTCCTCCTGGCTGCGGCCTGGTTACTTTTCAAACGGCAGTCCGGGCAGCCGTGTGGTCCCTCAGAAGCACACCCGGCCCCGCTCTGTGCCGGCTGGCATCACGGAGGCTGGAGCAGGTCAATCCCAGCAGCTGGCTTTGCTGAGGGGTGGCTGCCTCCCCGCCACCCCAGGAACAGCCTCCCGTTCGCAAGCGCAGCGGAGCGCGCCGGGCCTGCTCCAGTGCCTTTGAGGACATGGCGAGGCTCCAAGGCCCAGCCAGCGCCCCACATGAGTTGAGCAGGCCCCCTGGAACAGCCAGATCGTCCGCAGCGCTGCGAGGCTTCGGCAGGGGGTTCAGTCTGCCTAGGGAGGGGTTTCTCCAGGCAGAGAGCTCTGGCAGCGTAAATGAGCAAGAAATGCATCGACGGAAGCTTGCAAGACCGCCGTTACTGACAGGAAGCCAGCCACGGATTAGGGGCTGTGCTCCGTGGCATGTCCCACGGAGTGGGGGTGGAATTACTTGAAGCGAGGGCTCTCCAAGGCTGGCTTTCTGGGGTATGGGGAGGATGGCCTGATTGGCCGGCTTCAACCCGGGGATCTCCAGGTCGGCCTTCTGCTCCTCCAAAGGTCCGATGGGCGTGCCTGCACGGAGAAATGAGCTGCAGTGAGCGGCACCTGATGCAACGCAGTGAAATCCATGCCAGAGACTTGGGGAACGGCTCTCGTGCCGCTTAGGCTGGCTTGTGCCAGGATTGTGGAGAAGAAAAGAACAAGCCCGGGACGAAACCTCCGAAACACGGGCACCGGGTCCAATATTTTGTTTCCTTCAGTCATGCCCCAAAGGCAAAACAGCTGCAGAAGTTAAATAAGAGCTCCCTTCGCTGTGGTCCATGCACTGCAACTTTCCCCTGCTGGTTTAATCCGTGCCCCTCCACACCCACGGACACGCCAGCGGTTCGGGAACCGTCACCACCGCATGCCGCGTCTTCGAGAGAAGTGGCGCTTCACAAGGTACAAGAGGGAAAGATCCTGCCCCAGAGGACTAATGCAGGAACAGCTTTAGGCGGCGATCCTGTAGCTGCTTACATAGGAATAAACCTCACTGAACTAAGGGGGACTGCCTTCCTTCCAGTCAAACACACGTGTGCAGCTCCTTCCTTCAGGAGCAACTGATTAAAACCTTGTGACCCCACTCGGAGACAGAAAGTCGCGTGGACCTACTTTTCCAGACGTCGGCCGTGTTTGCGTACGTGATGACTCCACAGACGGCCAGGAAGGCAAATATGAAGAGGATCACGCTCCGCTGGAGACGGGACAGCTGCTTCCATTTCTGAGAGCAAAACATCACAGGGTGAGGCATCGCAACTTCAGCTCTTCACGGGTAACACACTGACAGCACAGGTGTCTGCCCGAGTGATCACAAGCTGCACTCGGCGACGCCTGATTCGCACCTGCCCTCTCTCCCCACAGCGGATAACTGAAGCAAGAGCGCACTTCCACTGGCTATTTATACAGTATTTATCATGCGGGGCGCACTGCAGTCTGGGGAAGGGGATATTTCTGTCACACAATGCTCACCATCTGAAATCTAATCCTGGGGGCGGAAGGAAAGCGGATGGGAAAAAACACTCGAGTTCAGCACCAGTCTGATGCGTAACTGGGGTAGCGAGTGGGAGTTACGGAAGGCTTTTGTATGAGCCTCAGAGCAGCTCCACTGGAATCAGGCCTGAGCCCCACTGGGGGTGCCGCTAGCCTCCGCAGTGGATGCCTGTGGGAAGCCCCAGAAATGGGGCGGACCTCTCCTGCAGCTTGTCTCCAGCATTTGGCACTCAAGAGGCATGCTCCTTTTAACACGGGGGTCCCGCGCACACACACAACCAGCAAACGGGAGACCGCACTCAAAACAAAGTAAAAACACCCAAAGACTGACATAAATTGAGTACTATGACTAAAAAGAAAAAGAGATCATATGGAAAGCCCTAACAGCACATTATAACCACAGAACACCACTGAACAATCATCAGACCTCAGCCCTACTTCAGGCTCAGCTGCAGCAACAGTTGGTGATGCTGGCTGTAACGTGTTGTTGTTCCTGTGTTGTCGTGCATTATTGCCGCTTTTTATCAGCAATGATGCCCGATTTATATATTTATGCCAGAGCCTTTGACGTCATCCACAGGGGTTCCGGGCTTTATACACCCGCAGCCCTTGTGGCCAAAAACGAGCTGGTGGCTTGGAAGTGTGTGAAGCCCATGCACCTCCAAACCTGCCAGTCTGTGCAGGAGGGTTGCTGGGCTTCCTCTCACTTCCCCATGACCAGCTGCCAAAGGAAATGCAGCCAGGCCTCTCTGCTCAGCTTTTGTTTCTCAGTCACAAGGAGGGAGGCAGCCACCTGGCTGTTTCACCCCAAACGCCCCCGTGCCCACCCGCCCCGTGTCCATTCCTACTGCAATGATTCAGCAGCGAGAGAAGGCCCCATGCCCAGCCGCTTGAGGTGCAGCATGCGCCACCAGTACCAAGCGCGGAGGCTGCATTGGTGAAAGCAGCTTCTGGAGGAAATTCTTGTCTGCACAGCAAGGTCGGCCTTCCCCGGCCCAGCACCCGGCAGGCGAGCGGCGTTGCAACAGCGGGGATCCCAGCCCAGAGGATGCTTTGGCAGGGAAGGCTGTGGCGGGCAGGCGGGTCGCACGGTCTGCCAGGTCATGATCCCACACGGGTTTAGGCAGAGAAAATCCCCACTGCTCCCAGCCACGGAGGGCTGCAGGACGTTCCCCCTGGACCCGTGCAGGATGGTGTCACTTGCCAGGGAGTCGCTGGAAGAGAGGTCTGCTCTGAGCCACATAGAGCATCGATCGAGTCAGCCTCTCTGGGTCCTCAGCTAGATGGAACCCCGCGCTATGTCCTGAGCAGCCATGAACATCAGAGGAGGAAGCCCTCCATGTTCACGGGCCATCAAACCTCCAAGTGCCAGATGTGGGAGACTTAGACGCAGAGCAATTTGCTGCCCTCGGAGCCCGGCCAAAGAGCTTCCCTGACTCATCTGTTTAGCCCCCGTGGGCATCTGAATGCTCGGTCATCTCAGCCACTCCAGCAGGGATCCAATGTTCCTGGATGCCTTTTAAAAAAAATACACCTATTTATCCTAACAACACCTATCTACCCTGCCTTTCAAAGAGAAAAAAGGGACCCAAAAGATGCAGAAGGAATGGATAAAGGCAATCCAGTAACCTCCAGATAGCTAGGACTCCAACTCCCATCAGGTCTAGCCAGCCTGGTCCGCAGTCAGAAATTACTAGTCTAAAGCATCTGGAGAGCACCCAGATCCAAATCGGTGATCAAGGAACATATGGCCACGCAGATGTCGCTGCACTACAATTTCCATCATCGCTTACTATTAACTGCTGGTTGGGAATGAAAACATTTGGAAGGCCAGCGGCCACCTACTTTTGATCCCAATAACTGAAAAACCCCTCAAGATTTTTGAACTGTTTATTTTAAGTTAAGTAAGTCAAATAAGGACACAATCTCAGTCAAGTTTATTCAGAACAGTCTTACAACTTCCAGCATGCCCTAGCCGAATGCGAGATCTTTTTCTATCTAAATAACATGTAAGATTGCGCTTAAAGCAGCGTCCTGCGTCTGCCAGGTTCTTCCTTTCCTTCCAGTCTCTTCTGGCCCTGCCCTTTCAATAAATGAACATATAAACACATAAACAGTCACAGTAAAATAAACCTTCCAGTAACTGCTCTAAAAACTGAACACCTTTTGTGAATATTTTTAAAAGCTTCAAAGGCAATAACATATCCCCTATCTCTAAAGTCAACATGATACCATTTCTAGTGCAGGCAAACACTGGCGCTCAGCTGGCGTTCAACGCAGCGCAGGCCGCTGTTCTGGCCATTTTAAGGCGCAGTGCTGGGGCAGGGACGCAGCAGCTGCACCTGTTGGACGGCAGCCCGCTTGCTTTCGGCGAGGAGGAGGAGGAGGAGGAGGAGGAGGAGGGACCCTCTCCCCCCTCCAAATAACCGGCCACGAGGCCACAAGCCTCGCCACGGCCTGCGCTTCCCACCCCCGCCTGCGAGGGGCGCGGCGCAGCCCTCGCTCCCCGCTGCCTCTCCTGCAGGGGGCGCCGCGGAGCCGCTCCATCCCCCCGACTCTATGGCCGCCCCGCTCACCCGCAGGCAGGAGCGCCTCCGCCAAGCCTTGCTGTTGTTGTAGCCGCCGCCCAGCGCCTCGAAGCCGGTGGGGCCGAGCGTCACCGAGATGAAGTCCCGCCGGGCGGGCGGCTGGGGCGGCGGCGGCTGGGGCGGCGGCGCGGAAGAAGAGGCCGCGTACATGGCGGGGGTGGCGCTCCCTCAGGAGCCGCGGGCCGCTTCTCCGCCTGCCGCCATGATTCGTCCCGTTGCTACCCTGGGCAGAGAGAGGGCAGCGCAGAGCGGCCGCGCTGGCGCCGTGCTGCGCGCGGCCTCTATGGTGCCCGCCCTGGCGACGCGCCCGCCGCGCCTTCCGGCAACGCCGCGCTTCCGGGCGCGCGGCTCCGGGCCCCGCACCGCGAGGAGGCCTCCCGCCCCCCGCGGCTCCTCGCCGGCCCCTGCGGTGAGTTGGGCCGGAGCGGCCCCGGGCCCGCCGGGCGGGGGGGGGGGGTCACTCTGCCTCTCGCGCAGCGACTACAGCACCCGTCATCCTCAGCCAGCGTGGCCCGAGCGGCTCCCCTCCCTCTAGGAGCGGTGGCGCCGGCGCTCGGCCGCAGACCGGGGCCTCCTTCCCTCCGGTGGTGAGATGGACGTGGCAACACCTGGGCCGTGGAGGGGCGGCCGGGGCACAAACCCGCCGTGGCCCCGCGCGGAACGGGACGGGACGGGCGCGGTGCTCGGCTTGGTTTCTTAAAAGAAGCTGCTAGTCCTTATGGCGGCACAAAACCTCCAGCACCTGTACGGCCTAGAAGCAATCGGCTGGCTCATGCGCCGCCCACCACAGTGGTTGGCATCCCAATCCTTTCCTTAAATATAAATGATTCCTACGTTTGCATCGTTGTTATCATAAACATCATTCGTATGAATTAACTTAAACAGAAGTCATTGGATCCAGCTTTATCAACCAGAACTCCGAAGTACAGATATTTCTAAAGGCCACTGTGTCCAAAGGCTTTTTGGAATCAAGCTTACTCCTGTCCCACAACTGAAGCCTCTTGAAATGGCTCTATTGTGTTATTCCGCCACATCCCTAAGTGTTTATATATTGTGATTTCATTCGTTATATCAAACTCCCCCACGTTTTCATTCTCCACGGATGGGAGACATATTTTTTCACATCTCCCAGTGCTACAATTGATGTGTCTCTGTGTTGGAGAGAGGCTAGTTTGGAAAAAGAAATGCAGAATGCCACATGTCTTTTCTAGAAGCATGTTTAATATGTAAAGTCTACAAACATACAAGACCATTTCCCTACATCAGTCCAGGGCAGATGCGGCCGCATCAGTCTTGAAAAGGCACTTACGGGAGAGGAGAGAGAGAGAAACTGCACACCCAACAGTTGATGGGAAGTTAAAATCTTGGCTCCAGGCAAATACAATAAAAACAGCAGCTTGCAGTGGGATGGCCCGATTTTTCAAGGACCCAAATACCAGAAAATGCCTTTTCTCCAGCAAGCATGACCAAAATGAACCAGTTAGACCAATCTGTCACCCAGTCCTCCTGTGCCAATCCTCGAAGTCCGTGCTTTCTCCCGTGGCCACAGAGCATGGTCTTCCAGGGAGTCAGAGCTGAGACTGACCTGTGCACGTGGAGGGGGACCCTTCCCAGTCCGAGACTCGCCATCATGTTCATTCGGGATGCAGGGGGGTGATCCTGGCGCCCGAGGGCTGGGGCCTCCCTCCAGGGCAGAAGGGGGGAACCGTGGGCCCTCCACATGTCGCTGGACTACACATCAGGTGTCCTGGCTGGGGCTGCTGGGAGCTGAAATCCAGCTCCCCTCTAGAAAGGACAGCCTGCATGAGAGAACTCGGGCATGCAGCGCACAGTGCAGCGGTCCTGGCCCCCTCCCGCTCTGGCCAGACGGGCTGCCGGTTTTGAAGGCCAGGCGCCACAGGGAGCTGCCTCCAGCCTCCGTGTCACGTGGCCTTTTGCTGGCTCGAGGGTAGGTGGTCTCCACTACCCGCAAGGTCAGCAGCAGCTGCAGGGGCAGCTCAGAGGGGCATGGCTGCCCTCCTGGTTTACATGGGGGATTCTCAGGGGAGCAGCTGGTTGGCCCACGTGGGAACAGGATGCTGGGCTAGATCCAGCCGGCACCTGATCCGGCACAGCCCCTGCGTCCTCTTCGGCATGGCACAGGAGGCCAGGTCCACTCCTGCATTGCTGTTTCCACCTGTACTGCCTTCCAGCGGGAAAGAACACTCTGGCACAGCGCAGGTGTCCTGTAGCTTTGCCACGCCACCAAAGAACAGAAGGAGCGGGGTGGGAGAACTTGACTTTGGCTTGATATTATTGTAAACAGAATCAGCTTCTCTCATTAAAACACTTGCCTTGATTATTTTTTCAGGAGAAAAAAGCGGTCTTCAGAAATAAGAAATGCACTATCTTTCATTCAAGCTCGGGCTAGCATTTCAGCTTTGCCTTCATCGAGAAGAAACGGCGATGGGAGCTCTTTGGCCTTCAGGTACTTCTCCAGACCCTGTCACAGAAGAAAGGGGAACGGGCAGGTGAGGGTCCGTTTCCGTTCTTTTGGGGAAGATACTCCTAAGCTACGTGAACATACTTCAGATAATGAATGAAATATTAAATAGCATATCTTGTTCCTCGCCCTGCTTAGAAAAAAGACAGGGCCCTAGTCTTTCTGCGCGGTGTCATTGACCTGGCTGACAATGGCCCCCCAGAGTTTCAACTGAAGGACGTTTCCAGCCATACCCTACCAGGAGATGCTGGGATTTGAACCCAGAGCCTTCAGCATGCAAAACGGGCTCCACTGCTGAGCAGCCACCTTTCCATTGCTAAACTTTCCCTACATCTCAGGGCTTTGCTGCGCCCATCACCTCATTTCTGCCCCAGAAATAACATGATCCTTTCCTGTAAAGGCAAGTTCATAAAATATAAAATCATACTCTTACCTCCCCAAAGTAGGATACTAGAGGGGAAATCTCACACACGGCGGGTGGATCTTCATCCCCCAATAAACTTGAGAGAGAGAAATGCCATTAATCAGACATGCTGCAACTAAGTGAAGTGCAGGAACATGTGCAGAGTGCTTTCCTCACACTGCTCCAGGAACCCAAACTGGACTTCACAAGACGAGCAGAAAAAGATTCCAGGAGCAGAGTGGGTAACCGAGCCATCTTTGAGCCCCCAAATCTCACTGATGATGATGATGATTGCTTTGAAGTGGTTTCCCAATTCCAAATACATAAATAAATGCAGAGCGGCCTTAGACCTTAGCCACTGCTTTGGGCACGGTGGCTTTTTGAGGCTTCCCAGACCAACACCCCAGGGGGCACAAAACCTTACAAAAATACGGACATGGCAACAGCCATGCCATTCCAGTGATGCTGGCCACTCAGACAGCTTCCTGGTTCTCCCACCTGAACTACAGACTTCCTCAGAGCGCGTAAAGGGAGGAATTCCGCGACACACCCACCTCTGCTTCTCGGGGGTCCTTTGGCCACGGTCGTTGACAAATCTGGCCCCGGCCTTCAGTGCCCAGCGGTAGTGTTGGGACAGGAGCGCCCGCCGGGCTGTGGTGGGGGTGTCTTTGTCAGCCATGTCAGCATTCTTCAGCGGGGAAAATTCCTCTTCCCTCTGGACTTCAAAGGCAACAAAGTTCCTAGCAAAAGCGGAAGAACCAGGGGCTTGAAATGGGTTTCCAGGCTGTGTTCCCACCTGGCACAGGAGACCGGGGGGCTGATGGCTCCAGCAGCAGAGGGGCAGCGCATCAGCTTCAGGCTTAACGCTCGAGTGGCTGCCTTGCCCCACTGGAACGGCAGCTGCTGTCCCCCAAAAGCCTGCTTGGCGGTGCTGGCACAGAAATACGTTCGGGGCAGAAGGCAGGGGAATTAGCCCCCCAGCCTCAGGGCAGGCCAGCCAACCCGCCGATTCCATCTGGCAACTGATTATATTCTGACAAATAATCGGGAAACCTTGATATGTTTCATTCGGCTCTGGATTCTGGCAAGCCAACAACGGGCGTGCAAATGAACCAGGGTGCAGCCCTGGATGGAAAATCCCTTGGTTTGAGGGGCTGTAGCAACCAAAGGCCGAAGTGACAACTCTGTCCTCACAGCTCAGACGTTTGCCAGGCGGCCACGTCCCTTCTCCCCACAGCCATGCCGGTTTGCTCTTTTCCAACTGGTTTTCCCCATTCCCCCAAGGCTTATTGGCAGGAAAAGGCTGCCAGGCGCGTGGGTTTCCTCTCGGATGGGGCGGTGAAGCACAGCCCGCCACTTCTGCAGCACGCTTCAGGGGACGGGGTGCAGCTAGACTTGGGACCTTTATTATGATTATGGTGAATTTCATGGCTGCGGTACCCAGCAGGCGCCGGGTGGTTTGCAAGAGTTCATCAACACAACAACACAGTAACACAATAAGCCACCCTCAAAATACAACAGTATAAACAGCATTCAAGAACAGCGAATGCAACGTACGATGCAAAACAGGCCCTAAAGCCCCGGGGAGGGGCACCCCCCTCAGAGCACTGGACACCCCGGAGGCCTTCATGTGCCTCGGTGGGAGAGGCGCCAAAAGGATGGCCTTCTGCCAGATGGCCTCCGAGGGGAGCCTCCGGCAGTCGGGGGGCTGCCGCCGAGAAGGCCGCCCCCCCCCTTCTTGCTGCCCTCCAGGCCCCCTCTGGCGGGGGTGCCGAGGACGGCTGGGGACTGGACTGGGCAGGGCACTTGGGCAGGCTGTGGCCGGGGAGTCGCCCCCTCCGTCACTGCGGCACGGAGCCCCGCAGGACGCCAGGCGGGCTCCTTCGCCCACGAGGCGGGGACTGCGGGTGCCCCCCACCCCCTGCAGCTGCCGCCCCACTTTCCACCGCCCCCACATCCCTGGCCCGCGAGGCTGTTCTCCACCCCCAGTGAGACACTCATCCCCCGCCACGATGCAACAAGGCATTTTTAGCTCACAGCACACCGGGCAAAATGAGCTTGCTTCTGCAGGCTTCATCACCTGCTTTTCTCTGGGTGGTTTGGGGGTGGGGGGGGCTGAACTGAGGACACTCCCTTCGCCACTGGGTGCGGTAGCAAATCCTGCCAGCCACATGAATGCCGAAAACAAAACCATTAGCCCCTGGCACCCAGGAGATGCCAGCACTGCCACACACGCCCCCCCCCCCCCCCCCGCCCGAACAGGAGAAATACAGAGAAAAGGCACCGGCCCACCACTAACTTAGAGAACTGGAACACATCAAACACAAACTTCTCCAGCTTTATCCCGTTGGGTTTGAGCGGCTTTACCCGATTGCCCTCCTCGTCCACAAACGGCACCTTCTTGACGGCCACGTGGTACGTCAGCTGGGGCTCGAACCGCCTGGCAGGGGGAAAGGCAGCCAGTGAGATTCCCCGCGCGGGAGCCCTCCTCGGCGGGGGCTGCCGGACCCCATGCGAGGGGAGAGGGGCGGCCTCGAAGGGGCAGCAGGGAGAAACCCGGCGGCCTTCAGATGCCTTGTGCCACAACTGCCGTCACCCCTGGCCACTGCTGAGGCTGTCTGAGGCTGATGGGAGGCGAGAGTCCGAAGCATCTCCAGGCACGGAGGCGCCTGCCTCTGCTTCGTGCAGCTGCGGGAGAGCAGGGCGGACCTCCAGGGCTTGGCCACAGAAGTCCAGCCACAGCAACTGGAAGCCCCACACAGGACCCCTCGCAAGCCGTGCACGGGTGCCGGCGGCAGGTGTGTGCAGCAGAGGCCCAGCGCGCCAGGAATCCCAGGTCCAGCCCTTGCTGCAGCAGAAGTGCTCCGGCCCAAGGACCGCCGTGCTCAGCCCGGCTCTCTCTGCGGGAGAAGTGTCCAGCCAGCCGCGTGACCCAGGGCATGTCACCCACAGGCCGATGCGCCAGACAGGCAGCTGATGGGGACTTTTGGTTCAGGGAAGGAAAGCAGCTTCACATGACTAGCAAAGCTGACGCAGTGCATTATTTTTGGCAGCTGACAGGATGGACCCTGGAAAATGTTTTGATGATGCTTTTAAACTCTTTCGAGACAATTTCTGCAAGATGGGACTGGGCAGTTAGAAAGGAAACCCCTGAACTGCCCCTCAGAGCCAAACATGGAGCAGCTTTTCCCGGCCTGGTGTCTTCACTACAGCTCTGGGGCCAACCTGGCGTGTGGGTCAGGAAGGACGCGGCCGCAGGCCAGGAGCCTGTGAGTCCGTGTCCCGGCTTTCCCCGCTGCGAGAACTGGACTCCGCGAGCTGCCTTCCTGCCACCAGTCAGCGGGCGTGGGGGGGCCTCGGCAGCGAGAAGAGGGGGGCTGTGGCGTTCCGCCACATGGGGCTCGGCAAACCAAGCCTCCTGCATCAGAGCTCAGGTAACTTGGAGCTGGTGTCCAAGCTGGCTGCGGAGGATGGATGTTGTAGTCCAACATGTTTTCCGGAGGGCAGCAGATCAGGGGAGATTAAGCATTTTCCTCATAGGGAAGGGGCTTCGGCCTCTCTCCCTTTGGCCCCGTTCCTGACAAAACACGCCGATCCCGAAGCCGGCTCCCAGTCCGACAGGTTTCCTGCGGCCCGCAGGCTCCTAACCTGCAGGGGACCATCTCGGTTTGGAGATCCAAGCAGGTGCCACGCAGGCCTGTCCCTCTCTGCAGCTTGGCGTGGCCCTCGAGCACGGCGAGGGCCCACACCCCCCCTCGGGCCCCGGAAGCCGCGGCAAAGAGCGTGGCACGGGTGGGCGCGGCAAGACTTACTCCGCAACAGCCTGAAGAAAGCCGCGGGTGAAGAAATGGTTGCAGATGTTGCCCGCGCGGAAAGTCAGGCGGCCGTCCGGGTTCCGCGCCTGTGCCGTTTCCGAGGAGATCTCGCTGTACTCCACCACCTGGCACACGCCGTCCACCCGGCACACCACCCCGACGGGCTCCGCGGGGTCGGCCTTCTCCACCACCTGCACGCGCCGGAGGCAGAAGCAGAGCGGAGGCCGGGTTGGCTCGGGGGCGGCCGCTGGCGGAGCCGTGCGTGGCGCCGCCTGTACGCCACGCTGGGGGCCCCTGGCAGAGGGCGAGCAGGGGGCGAACGCTGCGCTTGGCTCTTGCACGTCAGGCGGGCGAGGGCACCTCGGTCCAAGAACGACTGAGGCAGAGACGGAGCCCCCCCCCCCCCCGCCATTCCTCCTGCGGCTTCACCTTGGCTCCACAGTCCGCCCCCTTCGAGACGCAGAAGCCGATGAAGACGGGATCCGCCATCTTGACAAGGATGTTGTCCACGCAGTAGACGTGCACGTACTGGACACCGCGCCGCTCCATGTCCTCCAGGAGCCCGTTGTCCGCCAGCGCACGGTACAGGCCGCCATTGCCATCTGCAGCACAGCAAGCGAGGCAGCCGCCTTCAGCACCATCCCGCTGCGGGCAGCGGCCGTGCCAAAGCACAGGCGGCCCCCAGCCCGCCCGCCGCAGGCACAGCTCTTGCTCGGACCTGTGGATTCGGCTGGTGCCAAGGAGGAGCGCGTGCGAGTCTGGAGGAGGCCGAGCGCACAGGCGCACAGGCGCTGCCGTGCTCTTCAGCCAGGCCACAGGGCGCCCCTCCAGAGTTTTTCCAGCCCCACCTGGACTGGCTGAAGCCTCAGCAAGGGCCTCGTGCGCACTCTGGGCGCACGAGCTGCACCACCGAGATCAACCCCTTCCCTAAGCATGCAGCCGGTTCCCAGTCCTTAGGATTCCAGTTAAAGGGCTGAATTAATCCTAAGGGGACATTGGAAGCAGCCGAACACGGAGTCGGGCCCTGGGCCCACCCCACCCGGTCCTGGCCACTCTGGCTCTCAGCAGCAGCAGCAGCTCTCCCGGGTTTCAGTGGCCTTCCAGCTCCACCTGCAGACTGAACCCGGCACTTCTGGGCTGCAACCCACGGGCTCCCCAGTGAGCCACATTCCTTCCACAATGTGGCTGACAAGTGGGTGACCGGCTGTAACTTCCCTTTGCAGCCTAGGTCGCTTCGCCCAAATCTTCAGAGAGGCCCCTGCCAGGCACCCGCAGAAGGCTCCGCATGAGGCCGGAGTGTGCGCGACCCAACCCCGCGGGGAGCAGCAGCACACCTGGGGCCATGGCAAGCTTCCCCGGCTCCTCCAGGATCACCTTCCCGTCGAATGCAACAGCCGGAAGCATCCGCTGCTCAAACAGGACCACGTTGGACCTCTCCAGGTGGAAGTAGCCGTGCTCCTGGAAGAACCTCTCGGTCGGCCCCAAGGTGAACTCGCTCGTCATGATGTACCTGCAGCAAGGTGTGCACGGACGAGCTAGAGAACCCACCCAGAAACAGTCGTTCCCCCCCCCCCGGCCTGTCCTCCTCCCAGCACTTTTCTTCTCTGCCTCCTTCCTCTCCCGCGGGTCTCTTACAGCCGAGAGCTCATGTGCTTTTAAAGCTGCTTGGAAATGCCACCCACATCTCTTGGTTCCATCCCTCCTGTCACCACTTTTTATATCATATGCTGCTCCCGGGCAGGATGTTTCCGTTAGCGCATTGGAAAGCGCCGTAAGCTGCCATCCTGCCCAGGAGTGAAGGTTGCAAAACCCAAAGGGACTTATTTCTAACTGGACAAATACATCTCGGTGGGCATTCATTCCATATGCGCGTTTTTCAGATTTTCTCCTGCTCTTCCGG